CTTTCCCTTTATCTCTATTACACCTTCTCAAATGTAAATACTCCCTTGAACTTCTGCTTGGCAGCAGGGGTCCCTTCCCTCTGCTGTTGCTGAACTACCAGGAGATGCAGCCTTCTCTGGATCCTTTTCCCTCTGCATGATGGGATCTGCTGCCCTGCATAGTCACCTGATGGTATAAGATGGTACTGAGGCCATTCACTGTCATCTGATGCAGACTGCTCTCAGAAACACATGCATCAGGGTAAATGATGAAGCTTAGCTGAACAAAACTACTTCAAAATTCCTAGGTTATTTCTACAGAATTTGTTTTTAACATTAGTTTGAACTTGCAGTAAAACAGACTCTTCAGTTTCAGCCAAACGACAGGCAACAATGGAGACAAACCTAAATCACACACAGGGAAGCAACAGAAGAGTGGGATAGATTCTCTAGGTTGCAGTCCCAAATGATGCCCATTACGTGTACTCTTCAGTACCTAATTCTGTATTTCTTGAAGGTAGGATGTAAAAAGATGTATATAAAATATTATAGCCTCATGGGGATATGTGTCATCTTAACAGGTGCCTAGATTATAGCAATTGCACAAAAGAGCAGGTGACTAAAGTCAAATTCATACAGACCTTTTGAACCAGAGACTTGATTAAAAATCGAAGACAAAATTTAAGAAAATAAATAGGCAAATTATCAAGTAGATTTCATAGATTTATAGTGATGATATTACACTAGAGAATCATAGAATCAAAGAAGGAAGGAATAATAAAGATTACCTAGTTACAACCCCCATGCATGGGCAGGGACACCTCCCACTAGATCAGGTTGCTCAGAGCTCCATCCAACCTGGCCTTGAACACTAGCAGGGACGGAGCATCCACAACTTCTCTGGGCAACCCATGCCAGTGTCTCACCACCAGCACACTAAAGAATGTCTTCCTAATGTCTAACATAAATCTACACGCGTTCAGCTTAAAACCATTCCCTCTCATCATTGCTACATGCTCCTGTAAAAAGACCCTGCCTCCCCCACCTTCCCCCCCTCCCCAGTTTCCTGTAGCCCTTTCAGGTACTGGAAAGCCACTATAGAGTCTCCCTGGAGCCTTCTCTTCTCCAGGCTAAACAGCCCCAACTCTCTCAAGCCTGTCTTCACAGGAGAGGTGCTCCAGCCCTCTGATCATCTTTGTGGCCCTCTTCTGGACTTGCTTGAGCAGCTCTATGTCTTTCTTCTTCTGGGGACTCCAGAACTGGACACAGAAGTCCAGGTGGAGTGTCAAAAGAGCAGAGAAGAGAGGGAGAATCACCTCCCTTGACTTGCTGGCAATGCTTATTTTGATGCAGCCCAGGATTTGATTGGCCTTCTGGGCTGCAAGTGAGTTTCATTAGCTCATGTTGACCTTCTCATCCACATGCATCCTCAAGTCCTTTTCCACAGGTCTGTTCTCAATCCATTCTCAAAACAGCCTGTATCTGTGCTTGGGATTCCCCCGACCTATGTGCAGGACCTTACACTTGGCTTTATTGAACTTCATGAGGTTGGCACCAGCCCCGTCAACATCCCTCTGGATGGCATCCCTTCCCTCCAGTGTGTTGACCATACCACACAGCTTGGTGTCAATGGCAAACTTGCTGAGGCTGCACTCAATTCCACTGTCCATGTAACCAACAAAGAAGTCAAACTGTGCCAGTCCCAGTACTGACCCCTGAGGAACACCACTTGTCACTGGTCTCCATTTGGATGTTGAGCCGTTAACCGCAACTCTTTTGAGTGCAACCATCCAGCCAACTCCTTACACACTGAGTGGTCCATCCATTAAGTCCAGGTCTCTTTCATTTAGAGACAAGGATGTTATAAAGGTCAGTGTCAAATGCTTTGTACAAATCCAGATAGGTGGCATCAGTTGCTCTTCCCTTATCCACCAACGCTGTAGCCTCATCACAACAGGCCATAGTTTTCAGGCACGATTTGCCGTTAGTGAAGCCAAGATGAACACTACTGAGACATGCAGAGGCATATACACAGCACAACCCAGGCTAGCATTATAAAATCAGGAAGCAGCATTTTTATAAAGCATTTCCTAAGTACTAATATTCCCTTATTTTGTTAGACAATGATATAGACAGAGCAACACAAAATTGTGTTAAGAGATAATGGCCATTTACAATTTAGGGAAAAAAAATTTCTAAGCAGATGGTCTCATACCTGTTGTACTATTGTTGTTAGTTCCAGACAGAGCTGTATGACATTATTTCTTGTTACTGAATAATCTGTGACTGCAGCAAAAGGTGATCTAAAAAAAAAAAAAAAAAAAAGAAAAGAAAAAATGATGAATATCACTAGCATTTATCCACTTGGTTCACTGGTTCACAATGTGCTTAATACATGTTGTTTCTAGAGGTATTAAAATCACGTAGAATACACAAAATGTACTACTAAAATTGTATAATACAAGATACATAGCAATGGAAAATGTCCATCTCTCCTTAGTTTTGCAGTTTTTAAGTTCCTCTTTAAGAAATTAAATTTATAAAAACATTATTTTTCTCAGCCTTCTATTTTACCTCTGAACTGTCTTAACTCTTCCAGAAAATACCCATCTTGCTTTCTGCACTTGTTTGGGAATACCCTCATGAAGGCTGTCAGAGGCACCGCCTCCACCTGTGATATCAGTGGTGTCCAGATGTTAAATAGATGAGGAAAGTATTTGGCTGATTCACTGGGATTCTTGGGACCTGATCTAAAATCTAGTAAAAACACTGGAGGGATTCAGAAGGAAAATCTGTATCCAAAAGGGGCGAATAGCATTTAGAGCCAGAGATGCATCAAAGCTCACAAGCAGCTGGAATGGCTAAACTGGAGGCACAACCTAACATCACAAACACTGTGCTACAATCAGAAGTGCTTAGTGTAATCCAGCACTTAGAAATGTCACCTACATCTATTCTATACCTTAAAACTTCATGTTAGAATGTTTAAAATGCTTGTCTACCTAGATACTTGATTGTTTTCTAGAGGCACTGTTAAAACTTATTTGGTTAGTGAGGCTGGCAGTCATCTTATTTCTGTACTACAAGTCTGTGTTAAACTACTAACTCAACTTGGACTATTATCCATGTGCAAGAAGTAAACAAACACTAGGCAGGACTGGCATTTTCTCCAAGAAAAGTCAACATTTTTATTTCCTTGGTGCTGCACATGAGGCTTTTATGGGAATAATTAGCATTGCAAGGATGTTATTGTTCCCTAATACATCTGCTTCAAACATCTAAAAAAAAAGGTGGCAAAGAACCTCAAGGATTATAATGTTTCAATAAACTAACAACAGATCATGCAATGTGCCAAGATCTCTAAACAATACTATAAATGGTTGCCTTTAAATTAAGCTGGGTGACAAGTCTCTTCCCCAGCAGCCTTCTCTCATCCCATTTTAGCGCATATACCTTTAAGAGTTTTACAGTGCTGGTTGATATTATGCCTTCCTCATTTAGGCCTTTTATGCCAAATTTCCAGTACAAAGAACTCTGCTATAAGCATGTCCAAACGATAACTACAAATATAGTTCTACTGGTTATGAATAGGTTTCTAAACTTCATTTCCATATGCCGAACTACTGAAATTTTAATGACGGCAGAGGAACTGTCTACTAATGTTCACGCTGTCCATGTCAACTACCCTATCTTCAGCTACTTCTTCTAATGCCCTTTCTTCTTCAGGGACCCCAACTCAACCCTGATATTTCATAAGATAAAATGAACTTTGAGGTGCATAAACAAGTCTAGCAGCTTTAATTTGATGCAAGACATCATACAACAACATATACTTTCTGCCTGTATTTTCTACAGAAAAAAACAGTACAGCCTTTTAAAAATAAAAACACAGAAATTGAAAACTAGGTAGAATTTAAGAAACATAAAAGCAATGAGAGAGTGAGGGCTTAGTAGACAGTATGTGGTTAAGTTCCAAAAGTTGCCTAACAAAAGCTCTTTGACACAGATGTATAATCACAATTCAAACTCCAATTTTTTGCAGTATAGGGCAGCTGTACTATACATGCACATTGCAGCAGGGCTACCCACAGATACACACACAGAGTATTACTGAAGTGCAGGAGGCCTGCAAGCATATTAAAGGATAAAAGGTAACTGAACTGTTTGAATATGAACCATAATTGTGTTCAAAAAAGTACACTAGTCAAGATGTACAAAAAGACTGATATTTTTCCTTTCAAAACTTTACTGTTGAGGTTCTGAAATCTACCTGAAACCTTGATTTTAAAAGGTCATGTGTGTTTATGAACTTGCTTTTATTGAAGATGAATGGAAACAAGCCAGCAAATGGTATTTTACTTTAAGTGTGGATGCTAATACAATTTGATCCTCAAATTACACAACTGGAATCTATTTGACATTTCAAAGCCTCCAGCATTTCTCTAAACAAAATTGCATGGTATACTTCGGCTTCTCATACTGCATCATCTTCCCTCATATTTCTACAATTTAGTTTGGTTTCACGATTCATGAGGAAAATAATGACATTTTTATCATCATTGCTTTTAGTAAGCATTGCTAGAAATGCCTCAAATAAACTTTGTTGACATTAAAGGACAGGCAAAGGGACTGAGACATTACTCATTTTTGTTACACTGAAGTTTACACAGTGAAGATTTACTGAAAACAGAATGTGAAGCAGGCAGCAAGTCTGCCAGCAGGAGGGTAAGAAACCACTAACAATCAATAACTAATACGTAGTATTTTGAGAAGTGCTTCTTGACTTGGAAGGATGAGATGGGCCTGTGTTATATGGACTTTGCTCCTGCAGAAAATGTAATGGGTCCTCGAGCTGCCTTCTCTGTAGGTCTTTGTAGCTTATAAATCGACTCACTCACATCAGTTTCTGTTGATGCATCTCTGGGGTATTGCTGCAAATTGGACCAGTAAAACTGAAATTCCCTTTCCTCCCCCTCCCCAGTTCAGAACACTTCCCTGGAGGTAATCTGCATGCACAACTATACAGTCATTACTGCATAGCAGCTGGGGAAATGGTAAGGACAAAAGCCTCTTTAAATATTTACTGCCAAAGGAAATGTGTTTTGGTATTATATCCCAAGCCTCAGTTTCAACGGTTTCAAATCCACCAAGACTTATTATAACAACATGCCAGGAGTTTAAATCAAAATATCAATACAAACATCATTGTAGGATCACTGATTGAATTTCATAAAAAACACAGTGTGAAACACCAATCTGACAAAAAAAAACCCTCTTCATTAATGTATCCACTGATTGTATTTTTAATACCACAGATCAGTATTTACTTGCAACTGGTAAAACAGTATGTATAAATGTATATAAAGCCAACATACACTGATTTTTCAAGTGGCTGCTAAAATGCTTTCCTCTCAAGGCATCAGAAACACCTCAACTAGAAAGACTTCCTTGTTCAATTAGATCACTGTATACTTTTTTTAAAAAAAGTATTTCCTTGGCTTGGCTAAGCAATTTCCATCCACTTCCAATTTCTAGTCCTTTCTTTCAAAGCCACATCTTCACAGCCCCTTGGGCCTTAGACTCTCAGGTACCTCCTATGGCTCCAGTAAAGCAAAGTCCCTGAGAATATCTGCAAATTTCAATATGTGTGCTGCCCAATTCAGTGCTCTTTAAGTTAAACAAGAACTATAGAATTGCCTTGTACTGGGGCCTTATTTTGCCCCACTTCCTGCTGTGACACTAACCTCAGTGTTCCATTGTGTCTCTTGTCTTAGTATTTTCCAATACCTTTTTCCACATACATTTCCCTATTTGTGGAACCTTTCTGACTCAATTACTCTTTAATTAACTTGTACTTCCTTCAAAACCTCCCTGTGTTCTCTTCCTTTGCAACACCTGCATCAAAATACCTTTGTAGCTCCACAGCACACCTACATTAATTTCCTTCATTTCCATTAATTTAGCTTTATTTCTCCTTTCCATTCTTTCTCTACCCCTTCTTTGCCTGATATCTTAAGGAAAGGAGATGTATGCAGTCACATCAATGTTTCTGCACACACATGCCAGGTGGTTTTGCCCTTATTCTCAAATTTTTCTCCTGCCTTCTCCTTTGCAATATTTGAAGCCATTAGGGACTTTCAAACGATTTTCACAACTTGAGGGATAATAGGTGTCAGTTATAATTAAGTTCAAATATGTTTTGTGACCATGCATGCAGCTGGAAAAGCCCTAACACCAGGCATGACAGAACTACTAGTTCTTTTCCCTTTTTTTAAAAGTGTTTGAGATAAGTAACAAACCACCTCTGAAACATTGATTTGTTTATACATGTGTAATGCAGGTTCTAACACACATGCATGTGTTTTATGAACTGAAACCCAACTGAAATTTTCGGCAGTATCAGCATCTTTCAGAATGAAAAAAAATATATTATCTACCATTAATAAATTAAGCCACCCTGAAAGATTGGTAGAAAAGCCAGATATATCAATATAGCACATCAAATTCCCACACAGAACTAAGAAATAATACGATTAAATAGCTATTAATACAATGATTGATTGCACATGAAGGAAACCCCTCCCAAACAATTAAAACCAGATGTATGTAGTAAAGGAGGCGCATACACTCCGTATTTCTACATTATCAACATTTTTAGCCTCATATGCTTTAGCCTCCATGTCTCACTTCTTCATACAACATTTGGTTAGGGGAAAAATATGTACAGTTTTAAAAGCTGCAATTTGGACAAATAAAGAATATTGTTGGTAAAAGCATTGACCCCAAAATAGAAGTATTTTACCACTAGTGGTAATGCTGAGCTATTTTATAACAATAGGCTTTGTGAGGGGTTTAAAACCATATCATACTTATTTTAGAATTCTAACAAGTGAAAACATCCTGAGAGTAGTTTCGTTAAACATAATAGTCCAAAATCTTTTAAAGAGAGAAGTAACCAAATCAGTAATATAGCTCATTTTTCAAACATAACACATTAAACTCAAGTAAAAATCTGAATGTACAATATTATTGCATATATATTTGTGACAAATCTGTCTAAGAGTCCTAGTTCTAGGCTTTAATGAAACAAAACATTTTATTTGTATTTCTAATGGAACTGCTTTTTGTAGAATCAGAAAGGAATGCAGTAAAATTCACACAGAAAAAGGGAATTCTTTAAATGAGTGCTCTGTTAAACATTTACAGCTGTTCCAGTAGCACAATATGGTTTAAGTACCATAGCATTCTTAGGCAGCACTTACTGACAGGTTTGGCATACCATTCAAACAAGCATAAAGGGCAA